GGTTGAGGAATATTTCAAATCTTCTTCAAATTGAAAAAAATTATCCATGAGAAGTTTCACTGTATAAAGATCTGCTCCCGGACTTTAGAAATATTTTCTATGCATTTTTAGAAAGGATGGCGTTATTCGGCGGTGCGGTACTGCCGAATAACCACTTCGTTTTAGAAAAATAGAGGGGCTCGGAGGGCTCGGAGGACAAGGCTCATAAGTGCAGTTTTTGAAAAAATTGAGATATTAATGATTTCGAGTAAAACTAGTCTTAAAACATAAGCTGTGAAAAATTCGCTCCCAAATTTTAATTTTTAAGCATCAAAAAGTCAGCTTGAACTTTCTTTCCACCATAAAGATCCATGTAATTTCGACCCTTAAAATATGTATTTCTCGAAATACCTAAAACTGCTCTTCCGTACCTTGTCCTCCAAGCCCCTCAATTCCAGAGGGTAGTCTTTAATGTTTCTCTATTTTTTTGGTTCCAAGTCCTGAGGGGGTTATCGCATGCTTACAGTTGAAGCCCCATCAAACAACCAACCCCGAACAACCGTTGTTTGGAACCATTGAACTCGGGTCACCGGGTCAGGAATCAAACCCAGGACTTCCTAGCCGTATGGCCAGCACTATAACCACTACACGCTGTAGGCCGACGAGAAAATCGATAGAGAAAATTGGAGATTCACCCTAAAAAATCTCATTTTCTTACCCCTAAATATCAGGGCTCTATGAGTGAGGAAAAATTGTATTGGTGAGGGAAAAAATACTCATTTACACTGCTGACCAAAAACGACTGAGCTGTCTCAGAATGGGTAACACATAATTCACTATGCCTGCCAAGTGGTGACAATCATTCAAATTGAAATAAAAATAAACAAATTGTCAAGAAAAAGTATCACCTACCTTTTCTGGATCCAATGACTTCAGTCAAGAAACACACCACTGAAGTTGTTCAATGATAAAAATATGATACACCATCACCACAATTAATAATACAATCACTAAAGTAATCTAAAGTTACTGAGATTTTCAAAACCAACTCACCAAAAATCCCTGGTAATGACACGTTTTTAAGGAATGGCGCATTAAGGAGAGAAGATTTTGCTTTGGAAATAATTTTATAAGAGAGAATCTTGCCCTACATTAAAAAAGAGTGCTGTTAAAGTCTAAAAATTCACTAAATTGTACTATTTTATCGTTGCTCTTATTATTTTCAGTGATGGGAACCTACAGCCTCCTACACATTACTTTTAAGGGGGGGGGGGTGTATGTTTGAGAATTACGAGTACATTGAGAATAGTAATATTCGTGATGTGTAATATATCACATAAACTAAGGGAAAAATTAACGACTTCCTTGCTGACAAGTTTCAAATTTTAAGATAGTAATGAAAAAATATTGAAAGAAACAAAAAAACATGACATTCCAGGGATTCAAACCACCACCACCAAAACTATCTGCTTTATCGCTAATAATATATTTGCTTTTAATACAAATATGATTCCTACGATATAATCTGTTCATGAAGTCTAAGCAAACAGATTAGACAGGAGTTGACCATCATTGTCATTGACCAGCAAAGAGGGTCTCAGCCTTAAACTTGAACGTTGCTCATAACACCTACTTATGGCTCAACATTGTTGTGAGCAAAATTCTCATTTGCTGATACGATTTTTACACATTTAAAAAAAAACGGTAAATTTTTTGTTGCCAGTAGGCAATGAGGAGGTTGAAAAACGTTGAGATGAATAAACTGGATGCTCGCTCAATCGAAACAATGCTGCAATAAAGCTAGCTTGAGGCCAGCAGGTTCTTGCAATAATGAGACATTGAAATTCTTGGTATGCCTGAAGATGTATTTAATCTAACATTGTCTTGTCTGATCTGTTTGCATGGACCATAGTTATCATATGAATCTGATTAAAAAATTGAAAGTTTATGTTGTTTTTTGTTTGCTAAGAGGAAAATGTGAAATTACAGCAAAATTGAAATGTAATGATTATTTTGTGAATAATTTGAGAAAGAATTAGAATGAAAAGGCAAAGAAAGTTGGCGAGGACAGGACTATTTTGGGCAAGATAGAGCAGAGATCATAGGACTTTTTCAAAAATAATTTGAAGATAAGGGATCATTCATCATTTGAAGATTATTTGAACATAATCATTTGAACATAATCATTGAACCTTACAGAAGGTACTAAAGCAAAATCACAATTTTAATTTATAAATAGGAACATTTTTTAAAGATTACAATTTTAAATACCCATCGTCCCATCGTCTTAATCAGCTGTGGATGTTGTTAACCATTAAATTACTGACTCACGATTTTATTAAGGCATTATTTAAATGGAAAATGTATGAGTCAAATAACATGTTCGAGAAGACTCAAAAAAATCTTTGTATGTATAATAAAAATATAAAAAAATGACAGGATTTCTCTTATTTGAAAATTTCAGTAAGGTCTTAGTTTGAGGATGTGTTCACTAAAATTTGGATGTAGAATTTCTTTCAACCTACTATCCTTAACAATCCATCAATGCAGAAAGAGTGTGCCTTCAGAAATCATGAATTATTTGTCACAACTGTTCTAGGAAGGTTTCAAAAAAAATTCAAGAAAACTTCTGGTCAAGGATTTTCAAGACACCTTTTAAATCTTTAGCCTAGCATTGTTCCAAATTCCTGCTGTTAAAAAGTTTCACTTAAGTAGATTTTAATCTGGTTCACAAGAAATTGATGGATTTAGAAATGATGGTCTCTAACTATATAATAGAGCAAAACTTAAAAGTTCTAGCTTTAACTGAAAAATTTTCTGGCTCTTTCTTAGAACTGGGTGGTGAATTTTAATTTAAAAATAGTTTACGTTATTTTAGGGTGTCCAAAATATTTGAGGAAAAAAATTCCCTAGCTTTTCAACATTTTTCCTCACCAAAATGATCAAAATTCCTAACTTTTTGCAACAAAAATTAGCATGCAAAGAGCTAAAAATGATGATTGGCCTTATCTCACTACAAATGACAGAAACATATGAGCCTTGTTTCTTTGGGTGTTAATCATCAATTAGCTCAATAAAATTCCAATTCCTTATGAAAAATTATTCCTCAACCCACTATTTTGAGTGTGATTCAGAGCTCATAGCTGGGGGTTTTTTTCATCGGAATTACAAGTTTTGAGATGTTTCAAATTTCCAGTCTTCTTTACGAAATTTTCTGACTTATTTCAGTATTCCTAATTTCTCTGGCCTAGTAAAATTCTCCAACAATTCTCTGTTTTCTAGATTTCCAAACTAGCAGACAAATTGTGGTTCTTTCATTCACTGATGTATTTATTTAAATCTACTATGGATTTTATACACTTTCAACTGCGTAGCACTCGAATCTTATTAGATTAAGTCACCATTTTTTATAAAATTTGATTACCTTCATTCATCCAGCATGACAGAACCATTAAGGCCAATTTTTTTTAATGAACTCAAACTAAAAGTTTTTACACGGCCATTTATTGAATTTTACAATGCACCTTTGTACACTTAACAACATTAAATTGACAACAAGCCTATCATTGCTTAAATGCATGGTTAACAATTGATAAGAGAATACAAATTTGAAAGAGAGAAACAACAATCAATTAAAATACATGTAAAAAGAGGCGCAACAAATTGTTCTAAAATATTCTTCATATAGATCCAAGGAGACTTAAAACATGGCAGATTGTGGTTAGCAAATTTTAATTTAAAAAAAGAATATTTCTATGGAAGAACTGTGGACGGTGCTTCCCTGAAGAAATAGGAAATAGATGAAGAGAGAAGGGGGATAGAGAGAGATTTGATGATAGGATCTCATTCCCATAAAAATATTTACTTAATTTCAATTACAAAATAAAAAATAAAAAAATTCAGTGCCTATCTGAACAGCAAATATGTCAGATTGACTCATGAATGGTATGGTCCAGAAAAAAAAATGGAAAAACGAAAATAAAATAAAAAGATGAAAAAAAGAAAAAAAATGGGACTTCTTGATACTTAAGTAAACAATTATCCGTGAGATAATAGCACAAGTATCAGTTCTAAGAATTGATGGTCAAATGATCTGATTAGAACATAGTCAAAGGCTAATGCCGATCTCACCAAAAGGCCTCTTGGATTCAAGGCATAGCAGAATCACATTAATTTAAAAAAAAAAGGCGCTTTGTGGAAATTACTGAACATGAGAATCATCTAACTGTTAATCATCTTTTGCTTGGCAGCCTAAAAAAAAGTTTTTAAAAAACTCGTAGATTTTCTGCCATTTCGTTGTAATACCCAGCTTTATGGGATTACCTTTAATTCAAGAGCAGCAAGGACTTTTAACAGATGATATCTCACTCAATACTTTTGGGGAAAAGCAAAATTTCTTTAAGAACTGAAACAACCTTAAAGTACCATTTCTGCGATTTTAGATTAATTTATTCCATACATGATATGTGTAAGTATTCACTTTAACTTACATTTAATGCATCCATGCCAGTCTCTTTTTTCCAATGAAACCACAAAGAGTTATAGAATACATCTTAAAATTAGAGATGAAGCCTTAACTTATTTCTCTGATTCTGTCTAATTTTTCTCAGACAAGTCCATAATTTTTTCAATTTGTTGGACAGCCTGCCAACCAACCAGTTTGTTTTCCAACTCTTCAAAAGTATTTGATTGTTGTTAAAAGGCTCCCGACCACTTTAAGATATTTAAATTTTGTATAAATCTCTTTGAGCTCCCAGATCTCCACAAATCTACGAAAGAGCAGATTCAAGGGTGAGCATTTAAGTTTCTAGTTTTCATGAGCGATATGTTGTAAGGTCGTCTAATTCACGACTTAACAGATTTCATCATCACCACAAGTTTATCAACAGAAAATGCTGATAAGGCTGCACCAAATAAGAGAGAGAGAGGGATAGACAAGAAGAGAACAACTGACACCAAATTTGATGAAAGAACCGCATGCTCCACCCCGCAGACTTAGAGAAGATTTCTTCTATTCTCACCTGAGACTGTCAGGGTTGCAGATGTATCCGAAGTACCGTGTGTATTATTTGCACTGCATCTGTATAAACCAGCATCATCTAAGGGACAGAAAAATCAATTTAGAAAAGAAAAAGATGCACTAATCAGCTTTAGAAATATGAGATTTATACAAAAGGTTTTCGGTTTGAAACAAAAAGTAGTAAGATGGAAATTGCCTTGAAAAGATGGTAAAACAAAGCCTGAAGGCGCAATACAACTTTAAGATTCTATAATTTTTGTCTCATGATTTTTAAACACAAAAATGTTCAAAATGTATACAACAGTGCTCCAAAGCTGGAAATAACCAGGTTCCAAACACAAATTCGACAATTTGAAATATTGAAAAACAATTAGAGTTTCTTTCCGAAAATTTTAGACACCCCAGTGGCATGGCGTGCTTTGCGATCCATCGATATTCCCCCATTTGAAGCTGTGGTAAAAAATCGATTATTAAGGTGTTCGCTGCAAACACCCTGTTTATTGATACTTTTCCACAGGTTTAAATGGTCGATCAATCAATATACCACAAAGCACGCCACGCCAATGTGACACTCTTCTAAAATTTACACTCAAGTTTTATTTTGTTAACATTGTTTAAAATCCCATGTTTTCTAGTTAAAGTAAATCAGACCATCAGAAGATGATTTTAACATTATCACACCATAAAGAGAGTTTTCCATAAATTTCCTGACCGTGGTCTTCTTTATGAACAGATAGGATAAGCAAAAGTTTGCAAAACTTACAGGAATATGCTTGAGGTAAAGTCAATCTACAGACACCATTGCGGAACTGAATGTCATATTGGTCGGAAGCTTCAATTATGGCCGTGTCTTTGAGCCAGGTTATTTGAGGTGTTGGTTCTCCTTGGACTATACATTCAAAACGAGCACTTTGCCCTTTCACAACAGCAATATCACGGAGGGGCTGAAAAATAAAAGTTCGTGTGAATCAGTTCAAAAACGAAAGCAGGTTAAAGATATGTTGAAACCAATAAAGTGGATTAGCGTTACTGATGATATATTAAGCTAATGAAAATTTAGACTGACCGAGAAAGAAAAAAAAATGATAGTGAATACAATTTTGAAAAACCTATTTTTGAAATAACAAATGCACATCAATAATACAACTGTGTTCTGAAAATTCCAGACTAATGCTTCATGCAATGCTGTGAGCAAGTTCTTCAACTGACAAGAAGAGAGGGAATAAACTTAGTTGACCCTGCTTTTCTGAGATACTTCATTTGACTGCAACTCCAATTCTAACGGGTTGAATTCTGCTTGTGGATAACACAGACAATGGACCACTAGATAAGGTACGAATTTAAGCAATCTGATACATGTTTCTTCACCAGAATTTCACGTAGAACATGATTGGCGCAAGGAATATTACTGAAACTAACTCCTGACGAAGATATTAACGTTTTTATTTCACATTGGTTACAAGGAATTTGAACTGCCCGCTCACAAGAAACTCAAAGCTGTACGTGAGTCAAATTGCGCACAACAACGGTTTCAGCAAGCTTCATAATCAAGCAATCCCACCATGTGTTGTTTAAACTATAAGCAATTTGCTACAACTAAGCCAAAGCGTCAAAATTGAGGTTGCCAGATTTTTAAATCGCAGAGACTGTCTTGATAACATTTAGTGCACAATGTGAATCATGTAGAGCATTGAGTTTTCTTGAGCGGGTAGTTTGCATTCACGCATCAAGAATCATTAAATATCTACATAAGGAGTTGATATCGGTAATTTTCGTTGTGTGAATAGTGTTTTACGTGAAATTTTGGTTGAGAACCATGTAACAGAATGCTAAAAATCGTACCTTGTCTAGTGGTCCATTTTGAGCACTAAGCAAAACAGAGTAAACTGATGGTCTAAGTCACACTCTCGATACCTACAGTAACATTTGCATCAATATTTCAGTGATGCAGAGGTAAAGCATCTTTGAATTGTTACCCAATTCTCGTCAGGTTCGACACATCAATCGGCAAATCAATAATTATCAAACTTTAGTTGCTTGCAAGATTTAAATGGATTTTGGGCTAGAAAATGACAATATGCTACCCAGGCAGATGGAATCTGCAGTTGCATAACTGAGCTGTGTTGATGGCTGTGACAAAAGCTGATGGCAAGATTAAAATAGTCTTCAGGATTCAGAAAAAAAAAATACGTCAATATATTGCATAATCACTAATGATGAAAGACAGCAGGAAAAGATTGAATACTGAAAATGATCATAATAGAGAAAACATGAGGTTTTGATGCACTCACAGTAGTGAAAAATGGCGGTTTTTGAATCAAATCTCTATTAGCACCAGCATTAACAGGTGGACCACCAGAGGAATATTCTGGAGCTATCCTGCTCTCTCCCCAAGTTGTACCTGAGAAAATAAAGAGAGTGAATATTAGAAGGGCTATATCTTCACTAACAGAATAGATCCTATTTTCGACATACTGAACTATATACGTGACTATACTTAGCTATATTGTAACTTAGTGGAAAACTCCTATGAATGTTTCATACGCATTTTAAAGCAAGATTAGGGAAAGAAGAGTTTGAGATATATAAATGGAAAAAGGAAATTAATTTGGAAATACAAAAGGTACTCTTCTAAAAATATTAGAAATTTTTCTGGAAAAGAAATTCTAGTGAGGAGGTTGATATTCTTATCAACTGTCTATCAAGTTTCGATAGCTAAACAGAAAAAATGGAAAAAAGATCAAGTGAAAGAGAGACATTGTAAAGCATACCATTTTACTGGGGGATCAATATACATATTTATTTTATTTATTTATTTTTTTTTTGACGTTTTTAAATTGGCCAATTTACATAGGCATCAAACATTTTTAAAAGTCTTTCACAAATTTATCTTAATTCATTATTTGTTGACACAAAAAATTCACAAGGAAGAAACTACACACAAATGATAAATCGATGCCCAGTTATCCACCAAGTGTTAAAAAAGTTTTAAAAAGCACATTGATATAGATTTGGGGGAGGGGGGAGAAAAATATACTATCAAGAACTAAAGGTGATTTGGACTAAGATACCGTTTGCAGGATTATTCTGCAAGAAACAAGAGACAATATGGAAAGTTAAAGAAACCCTCATCTTGAAGAATTAAATTCAGCATTGAACTTTTGGCAAAAACTGATGAAATTTTTTTGGCGACATTTTTCTTTTCAATATAAAAATTGAAGATGTACATGCAACTGGATGTCATTAAGCAATGAAACCGTCTACAGGAGGCATTCAAGCAGTCAGTTGACACCCTCTGTTCGATCAACAAAAATGGCCGAGAGTAATGATTTTGATCTTAAAATCTTTCCTAGGGCACACTGAGCCAACAAGAGGAGCTGCAGAGAAATTGAACATGATGCAACCACAGGATAGCACTTCTCACGAGAATCAGTGGCAAGGCATGAATGATCGATTATCGATATTTCCTCGTTTTAGGCTATGATAAAGAATCGATTACTAAGGTGTTTGTAGCGAACATCTTGTTCGTCTGTTTTTTCTTTAGGTTTAAACAGAAGATCAATTGATACATCGCAAAGCACACCACGCCACTGAGGTGAATCTTACCCATCGAATCTGACAATGAGGTAACACCCGTCCTCCATAAAACTAAATTTAGGTAAAATTGATCCATAAAATGGAAGGAGGAGCTTCCTAAAAATATTCAATGTAGACATATCTCTACTGTTGAATGGCTTCAAATTTCAAAACTGAGGTTACAAATGGTCTTGAAATATTCAAAAAGTAACTGTAGTAATATATTATATTGACGGTGTAAGTCAGTGATCACATAACTCGGTTTGCAACGTCGCAGACTTCCTATCGCACTTTATTTTTTAAACGGAAAACACCTCAATGGCAATTCTTTAAAACTGCCGTGATTTTTCTTCTCTGTGCGAAGAAAATTCTGCAAACATTTCAAGGAATGATGTCAATTTGTTCTCCTTTAAAAAAATAACATAGAGGCGGAGATTTTCAGACACCGCAAACGAGTTATGTGATTGCCGACTTACACGGTTGATATATTCTACCCTGATGGGGATCAATGGATACCATTATGCATGTAAAAATAATTTGGAGCAGGGTTTGTTTTGCAATTAGTCCAAAAGGATAAGCAGGCTTTTAAACTAAGATTACCTTGCATACTGTGATGAAACAGAGTATAGAAAGGGAGATGAGTAGTTTGAAAAATAGTTTTTAAAAAAAAAACAGGGCGTTGCACACCTGGGTTATGAGGTTTGAAAAAGGAAAAAATGCATTTCCTTTCAAAACGATAACAATATGTATGTTCTACAGAGGAAAAAATTAAAAAAATTTCTAGTATTCTGGAAACTTTATTGATTGTTAAAAACACTTAAAAAAGAGAGCCTATTATGATGATGGTTGAGAGGGCAAAAGAAACTGCAGCGACAAATCAAACAGACTCCTTCAAGGTGTGTAAAAATGATACTTGAAAAGGGAATGAGAAGCACACAGCACACACATAAGTGAGACGATAAGCAAATGACACCAATTAAGGAGCAGGATTGCAATAAGGAAAGTTTGAGAACACTTTTTTCATCCTTTCATACAATACACATGGGTCTTTAAATGTAACCAGAACTGAAGGAGATAGCTGGAAAAATTGAACTGAACTACCATTTTCCTGGCATCTGGTGCTCAAATTTTGGCGCAAAATGCAATTGCATACTACTTTTTAGAGAGGAAAAAAGTGCACTTTTTAACATTCAGCGCAGCAGACAAAATTTCAATAAAAATCAGTCCCGCTATAACCATGAGACAGGAAAAACCCATTTATCTACATAAATAATTTCAGATCTAACACTCTGACCAATTTTACAAACAGAACATTGAAAATGTCAATTTTACAAAATATGTTTGAGTTAGAATGAAGTTTAATATATGTTGCAAAGCACCGTTTATGCAAATTAATCGAATTTTTGAATCATGTTTCAGGACAATACAAGCCCAGAATTTGATGAAATTGATAGCGCATGATATTTCCTTTCTTCATAGAATATACAGTCGGCCTAGAGACTTAAGGGTAATTTTTTTTTCTTTTTTTAAAGGTTCAGGATTTACAGGAGGTTTTGACAAAATTTCTGTCTTGGAGAGGAGCCATGAAGTTGGAAAAATCAACCCAAAAAAAAGGGATCTATCTATGTATGTGACTTCAAAGGAAAAAGCAGGATGATTAGGCACACCGATGAAGAAAGATTGTTTGGAGGATACAGGAAACTGAACACAGATTGATGAAAACACAAAAGGGGTCCATACACATGATCGTAGCGCAAGGAAATTGTTTCTAGATTTAGTCATTACTTTACGAGCATGGAAAAGAACCGATGACTAAAACCTATCTTTCAGCCCTCATTCTTGAAATTATTACAGGCAAGAATCTTCGAATTTTCTTGAAGACTTCATAAAGTACACAGCTGGAACTCTGAGATTGACTAACAACTACATACAAAACATGTTCTGACTTCCCTAATTTTTTTTTGTGTTTCAGGTTTTCCAGAAGAGGGCGAGTCTACAATGGTCGACTGTTGCTTGAAACTTTTAGATATTTTTTTTTATTACCGCTTGTATTCATAGAGAATCTGATCACAGATAATTATTTAGATGACAGCAGAAACAACTTGATTAGTTATCTACAGCAAAATACCAATTCCCTTATTGTGGATAGACCCCTTTAGATGAGAATGAATTAATAACCTGCAGAGTGTCGGCGCTGGTTGAGGTTGGGTGAAAGAGAGGAAAGAGGAGAAACTGGTGAGCTTGGAGAAGAATACGGGATGATGGCCGATGTGGAAGACTTGAGGCAGGAGCGCTTCCTAGCCTCATTTCCAGAGAACTCACTTTCCGACATCGGATCCCACGTGACGGACTTTTGTCGTTTCGGTTTCGACCGATTCGTTGCTGCTGAGTTATCATTTGGAGTGACAACTCCGAATTCGTATCCAAAATCGTACTTGAAATAGACTAACCCAGTGGATGGATCAATCTGTTTTGATCCTGGAACCATTGAATTTTATGCTTATACTAACAAAAATGTTATTCTTAAGAAAAATAGGACCTCCGTCTGTTAAATTCTTCATTATTTTTTACTATTTCTTGGCTTTGAATCAATTAAAGAAACCGCACAAAACCACACACTAGCCACAAGGAACACTTTTGCTTCTCCTTGGTACAATCATCAAGAAGTGAATTGCTAACCATTCTTACTGAATGATGAATGAGTTGTAGGATGAAAAGGGAAACAAATTTCAAATGTTTTTTATGATGATGAAATTTGAGAATGATTAACTTTTCAAAAAGTGTAAGATAAAGATGGGTATGAGAGATGAATGAGATGTACTGTTTTTTTTTAAAAAACAAATATGCAGTTACCTTTCAAACAGTTTTTTTTTCATTATACATATTCTTTTGTGGAAGACAAACAATAATATGATCAAGAATCAAAATGAAAATGATATTTTATAAAGAATTCGGTACATGCCGTCCATAAAAGATAAATTTTCTGCTCCACTTTACAGATCTCAAGTTTTATTTACAAAAATTCTTCAGCAGATAATTCCGCTCTCAGTAACAAAAAAATTGGTCAGTTTCTTACCATGTTCGATATTCCTAGATTCTTGTTTGTAACTTTGAACATCATTCGTTCGTAGTTGCAGTGCTTGACTATCTGAATCTTTTCTGTTCACATCTGATATGATATCACCAGTAAATTTTTGAACTTTTGATTTGAATCTGTTGTTCAAGTTTTGCATTTGATTGTTTACTTCATCTGAGAAAAAAGTTTACATACATGATCATCACAGTAATTTTCATTTTAAATGTGAAGATAGTTGAAGAGAATTTAAAAAAAAAATCACATTTCTGGTAAAAAAGGTATTTAAAAAAGAAATAATTACATTAGTTTCGTTACGAGATGCTTTTTCAGTCAATTTGAAAAGGTGAGGGGAGAGATATTTAGGATCAAATAGAAAATTCATACTTTTACAGAACAACACATTTTCAAGTTTGCTCTGTTGAAGAAAAATAAGTGTGGAGAGGTCAATTAATTTAATTTTTTTTTCTAGTACGAAACATTTACCACTGACATAAAACAATGTTCATTTTCACATTTCAAATGAGTAACTTATATACATTGCGCCTGTATTCAACTCTCTGATAATACTTAATCCATAAAATGAAATTTACTACTTTTTATTGCAGTTGAGTAAGTACCAGATTTGAGATGGATAATACTGCAAAAAAAGGTTGAATGGTCATTTTGAAAAAAAAAAAAACTTGTTTAACGCAGAGCTTAGTGCCTAAGATTTCAGAACAGTTTGCAATTGCGCTTAAGAACTTTGTAACTATTGATGAGATGAAAGATACTTACTTGACACAGAATTGGTGGTTGGTGATCCAGCAAGAACAAATTCTGGTGGCTCTCCTGGCTGCAAGGTAATATCGTTGCTACTTTCAAACCGTTTTCTCATCTGCTCTACCCGCTCCAAACGCTTTTGTTCAGCCATGTAGCTATTTGAATCAAAAGGTACGCTATGCTGAGATACAGCACTCTGAGATCGCGACTCGCTTCCATGGTCATAACTATAGGTTTTTGTTGTTTTTTCTACATTCACTATGTGCTTGCTAGTTTCTGTTGATTCAGTATAACTTACTGTTGATGATTCTGTGGGTGCAAGTTTTGAACTTCCGATATAGGTTGGTGTGGTCTTGGTCGGAGACTTGGGCTTCACCATCAGTAATGAATTAGGTCTAGACGGTGTTTGTGAAAATGCTTGTGTTTGATACGAGTGGTTTTGATGATTTTGATGCATTTGCTGATACGTTGACTGCGCTTGGTGAGACTGATTTTGATATGTTGACTGCGCTTGGTGAGACTGATTTTGATATGTTGACTGCGCTTGGTGAGACTGATTTTGATATGTTGACTGCGCTTGGTGAGACTGATTTTGATACGTTGGCTGAGAGGCAAAAGTCTGATATGAATTGCTAGGAGAAGATTGAGGAAAAGACTTCTGCATCTTTGTTGGCGACAAGATTTCTTTCAGTTTAACAGGGGTTGTTGATTTTTCAGGTTCAAATTTGGATCGTGGAGAATCTTCTAAGTTAAGCGGAGGAAGGACATTATTTTCATACTTTTTCCGCCTTGAAACTGGTGTTAAGTTCGGGCGAACAGGTCGGTATGAAATGTCTTCAGAGTCTGAGTCATGAGGTTTCCAAATCGGAGGTATCCGCACGGATTCATAGTCTGTTCCGTATTCACTTTGGCGGAAATCTCCTTTGATAAATTTGGATGGACTGGCAGGTGGAGGCACGATTTGTTTTCTAGCAGGTTTAGCTGGCTCTGGTTGGAAGGGAAATGGCTCTAGATTCAAGTCTTGCAGTTTGACAGTTCTTTCTTCAGGCTTGAATGAGGTAGCTCCCTGAAAAAGAAATAAAATTGGTCGTTTTTATTGTAATTTAAGTTAGGTATCATTACTGGGTTAAAGATTGTAGAGGTAACAAATAAAGCACAAAAGAAAACAATTTGTACAAAGGGGAAAGGAGAGCCTCAAGGACCACGTAAAATTCATGGAAAAATGGAGAGTAATAATTTAAAGTTATAGAAGTTTCTTTTTATTATTACTATTTTCTGCACGTGTCATGATAATGCGCATGTGCTTCATTTTTTTCATGCCAGTTTACGATCTAAAGCTCCTAAAGTTAATTAATTTTTTAAAAATTTATTGGGTGATTGATATTTACTCCAATTATGAACGCAGTAGATCATACAGAATGAGTAAATAGGAATTTTTGACAGAGAAAAAAAAATGAAAATATTTGCCCCAAAAGAACCAGTCTAACTAGTAAAAAAAAAGTTACAAATGTTTCCATAGTTCAACAAATGTAAATCAATTTGAAACAACTCAATTACCAGGGGGGGGAAAAAAACTGGTGATATTTTGACCATCAATAAGCATCAAGTGTAGTTGGCTTACGGCGAAAGAAACGGAATACAGCAGGAAAATAAAATAAAAGTAGAAATAAAATAAAATACAGGGTAAAAATGAAAAAGAAAAAAAAATTGGGAAAATAGGACAAAGAGCACAGCAATCAATATACACATCAATAGAGCAGTAGTCATTGTTCGGCTGAATATTTTGGACGGCATCCGTTAGAAAAAGCAACAGATAAATATGTATAGATTACTATCAAAACAACCGCAGGAAATTGAGAGGGAAAATAATTGAAGAGTATATATCAACGGTAAAACTCTCAAACAACATATCTTGTTTGTGGTGTTTTAAAATCTCCACTCCTATTTCATTTATTCAAAGGAGAAGAAATCAACATAATTTTTTTGAGTTTTCACAGAATTTCCCTTGCAAAAAGAGGGAAATCACAACAGGTTTTAGGAATTACCATTGATTAGTGTTCGATAAAAAATAAAGTATGTATGATGGGAAGTCTGTAAATTTGTAAACTGAGATACTTGGTTTGGAAGTTTCACCATCGATATGTACATCCTTAAAGAAGCAGAAGCAGAAAAAGGGATATCATTGGCAAGGAAAAGCCAAAACTTTTCGTTATTGAACACAAGCAAATCTCTAAAGAAATCTCGAGGGTATGGATGAGATTCACATATGACTAATAATTCATGAGCAAAAAAAAAAAAAAAATTCTTTAGGTAATTATTTTGATTATCACTAAACTCCTTTCACAAATAAAGAATTTAATTAATTTTTAAACATCTGTCACACCCACAACAAGAAAAAGCATGTAAACTATTTTGTAAAATAGGTTTCATTAAAAAAAATAAATAAAAATAAAATACTATACATTATGGATTCGTTTGATGAACATGAGGGAGATGATGAGTGCTAAAAAACAGTTCTAAGAAAATCAGTAATGCAATTGAAATTTGGATTTATACGCCAATTGCACTCGACTAAAATTCAAACAAATGAAGGAGTGGCTTTATGAGGAACGCAGGAGCTATCTCTGATGTTTATCAAAAGCAATTTTTGAAACAAAAAAAAATTACACTGAGCTATACACTTTCGATTAGTGAAAATATCAACTGCAAGATTAAAACACTCTAAAACATCATTCTCGGTGTTTGAAACAGGCTAACCTTCTTGTAAGCTTTTGTGGAAGCGGGCAAAGTTGCATACTTTCTTTGCTGCCAATTTGATTCAGAAAAGTTTGACTGCTTCAACAAATGTCTTGGCTCATCAGTATCAGCCATGTAGCCATCCGATTGGAACGACTTCTTGGGTTTTGTCTCCACTTTTGTCGTGCTGGAGAAGGTGTTGCAATACTCAGGTGGAGAAGACGGCTGAAGTGAGTTAGTCAGTGCGCCTGAATACTGTGTTGAACTAGACTTATACATTTGCTCTGAATACATCTCCGCATAACTGTCCACATGACAAGACACAGGTCTCAACTGCCGCGATGTGGCAGAGTATGAGAACTGGTTTGGAGGGATCTCTACGGACAATGGTCTCTTAGTGTGAGCAATCCATGGTGGAGCTACTTTCTGGTCGTGGGTTTCACTGAATCTTGACTCCTGATAGGACGAATGGACATTTTCTTTCTGACTTTCTGCTGTTTCTTTGGAGCTTGGTGGCGGAGGTATGGTGCGCACAGCCCCTAGCAAACATTTGCTGGGACCTTTCTCTATGTCTTTTTCAAGTCCTTCTTCAATAACCTCCACATAAGATTGTCGACGCAGGTTTTGCGGTGGCTCAGCATATGCTAACACTGGAGGAGGGCCAGGTTCTAAGTGTAACGCTTCCAAAGAGACTTCTGTCACTGGAGGCTGGAACATTTTCACAGGTTTTGGGGTAAATTTTTTTGGAACGTAGTCTGGTTCAGAGGGCTTGCCTGGAGGCCAAGATTTCTTTGCCTCAGAGGGTTTCAGAATCTTCTCTTCCACCACAGCAGGAGACTGGCTATGGAAAGGTTGGAATGCAGACTGTGGTGTTGGCTCCGTATGCTGAATAGTTTGATTTGTAGATCCTGAGGAATTGTAAGTTGTGGACGAACTGTATGATGAGTAGGAAGACATCATTTCTCTTTTTTCTGATGTAAATGAGGGCGTAACTGACTTGGCTCTTAAACTAAAGGCCGGTTTTCCCACAGACTTTGTTTGCTCACTGGAAAAACTTTTTGATTCGGCCCGGTAACCGCCTGGTATTGCTTCGCAAGTCGAAGACTGTTCGACAACTCGATTAGACCATGGCGCTGTGACTTCCTCTTGCGGTGACTTGGCAGGAGGCCAGGTTTTCTTCAACGGTTTGGTCTGGATGGGGGTTTTGGTCTCATATGGTAATGGCTTTGGGAACACAGGCGAGGTTGGCTTAAGTGGAGCAGCACTGTGGGGCCGAGACCACAATTTCTCCATAGCGACACCCTCTGCAGATGGACGTGGCGAAACAGCTCTTTTCAACTCTGATCCATACCAAGATGCAGACATCTGAGATGATACAAAGGAAGGAATGGGAGAGGAAACTCTCTGAGACTGAGGACTAAGAAATGCAGGTGGAGGAGATGCCGCGCGGGGCTGAGGACTGAAGTATGAAGGGGCTGGGGCGGCAGACTTGAAGGGCTGCGGGCTTGCATTAGCAAAATTAGAAAAGGGAGCCACTTTCGTTGGACTTAGATATGGGGAAGAGGCTCTTTTGATGGGTGATGGAGTTCTTTTGACAGGTGACGGTGTTCGTTTGATGGGTGACGCGGGCCTCATGATAGGTTCTCCGAGGACTGTTGAACTCTCTTCCTTATGTTTACTAGACCATAATTTTTCCATTGAGATACCTTCTGCGGATGGTCTGGGTGATGAGGGCCTCAGAGTGATGTTGTCTGCTTGGGGCCGTAGAATTGGTAAATGATCTTTAACTTTCTGATCTACATTCGGGAATGGCGCAGGCTGAGTTTGTTGCAAAAATGTTGCATCTTGACTGCCACTGAACTCCACTTTCTTCTTCACAAACGCCTCTTCTATGACCTCTTTCCTCTCTTCTGTTTTAAACGATTTCGGGGGCACATTTTCAGAGAAAGGAGTGGTTTGATATGCTGATGTACTTTGATAGCTTGGGGAACTCTGATACGCAGGACTGCTTTGGTATGCTGGGGGACTCTGATAAGCTACGGTGCTTTGGAAGGCAGAGCTACTCTGGTATGCTGGTGGACTCTGATAAGCAGAGGTATTTTGGTATGCTAATGTACTCTGGTAAGTTGGAGGGTTCTGATAAGTAGGTGTCTTTTGATAAGCTGACGCTTGCACTGACTTCTGTTCCACTCGTTCTGAAAATTTTTGCTGTAGCTCTGAGCTATTTTTCCTGCTGATTGTTGGAAAAATCTTCACACCACCAGATGGAATTTCAATTGGAGATAGCTCTCTCTGCGACTCTTCAATTTTCCGCACCCGGCTCAGCATATCTGGTTTGGGTCTTGGAGCGGTGACTTTTGGAATGTATCCTATTTCTGGAGGTGGCCCAGGTTCTAACTTCAGCTCCTGCGGGAAAGGCTCGATGGTCTTTGTCTGTTTCATAAATGATGAGCTAGACTCAGAAAAACTTTCATAACTTTTATTTACGTACGGCGATGGTAAGCTCGTTAAAACCGGTACACTACTACTGAAGGAAGGTTTCGGAGTTTCTTTGACCGGTTCTGAAAATGAGCTAAAACTTTTAGTGCTTGACTCGTATTTTTCTTGAGAGCTCCCATTTTCATTTTCCTTGATTATATTCTTGAAAAAGTCTAACGCACTACGTTTCGTAATGGATTGGTCTTCGATTGTTGTCTCCTCTGTGGCGTTAGAACTTGTTGTCATGAAGTCTGGTTTCTCGATTGGTTTATGATCTACAGCCGTGGTGAACATTGGAGTGGGTTCAATCGGTTTGGAGGGAGAGGTGAATTGAGCTAAAGGCTGAGATTCATTGCTAAGTTTGATTACAACCTGCTTGTCTCTTTTGACCGTCTCAGAAACGAAGACAGATTCTGACAGAGCAGATGAGGATTTTGATTCTTCATGAAATTTTGCTATACTTTGCGTGGGATGAACGTTGCTGTTTTGCCATGTTGATTGGATAGTACTGCTGGGTGCAGACCAGTCACCCTAATTAAATAAGAGAGAATTAGAGAGAAGAAGATGAATTGGACATCCTTTGCAATTATAGAAAAGAAGGCATTATAAGAAAAATTACAAAAGTACCTGCAATGATTTGAAAGACTTGTCTTTTGAAGAAAATGGCAAGAAAAAGAGCGAAACAAAAACTAAAAAACTAGTAGGGGAAGAGAGAAAAAGAAGATTATGGATGAAACCATTTAATGATTAAAAATCTGCGTTCAGAGCAGTAAATAAATCGAGCAGCCTCAGGAGCAGCAATAAGATCAGACTAAACATGAATGACGAACATAATTAAATTAAGAGATCTACAGACACATGTTGTTTGCACTTGAGGCAAGTTCTTCAGGGAAAATTTAGAAAAATTTACAAATATAAAGTCTCAAAATTTTCAAAACTCATCAATTCCTTTACCTCATTTTACACAGACATATGTTTCCACATATCGAAACATGTGTCTGTGTAAAATAAGGAGGGGGCTTATCGAGTTTTGAAAATTTCGAGACTTTATGTGTATTTACAACGATGCTCTTCGTTTATAATTTAATTCTCTTTGCCATTATTTCAGCATAATTAGATTTTTATTTAGTTGAAGTGAAACTGGAAAATATATTATAAATGCCCCGTCATAGAATTACTTACCGATAATTTGGTTTCGATGACAGTTTCATTTGGAGCAGATGAAGGTGGTGGCTCAAAGACATACACTGAAGCAGAGCTACTAGATTCGCCGGCTTCATTCTTTGTCTTCACTGTGTATTGGCCTCCGTGTGAAAAAGACACTGTTTGCAGATGAATGAAAAGCACAAATCAGAGAAATAAGAAGCACTGGTATTCTCTATATAATATTCCAAGATTCAAATAATCATAAAAAAAAGAGGCAACTCATTACTGCGACCACAATTGAGGGGCTTGAAGGACAAGGTGCATCAGTGTAGTTTTTGAAAAAAAATGAGCTATTCATAACTCAACTAAAACTAGTTTGAAAGTATATTCTGTAAAAAATTCACAGCTGAAATCTAACTTTAAAGCAACTTAAAAGTGAGTTTAAACTTCCTTTCTGTCGTAACGCTCCATGTAATTTTGAAACTTAAAACACGTATTTCTTGAAATAGCAAAAACTGCACTTATGAGCCTTGTCCTCCAAGCCCCTCAATTGAATTTCAAATCCAAGGGTGTAAAAATAAAAATTTTAGGATCAAATTAGTATTTATACATTAAATAGAGAACTGAGATACGTCAGAAATTCTGCAATTCAGAGAGTTTGGGGCGATCGTACTTATTTTTTTAAATAAATTTGTTTACATCCACAGTTCAGGTTATTACCATTAAAAAATTTAAAGTCACATTCATATATCGGCATTAAAATTCCTAAACTTCATCTCCTAGATCTCAATTAGGTACAGGGTTTTAGAATCTCCTCTCCTGTTTCATTGCTGTAATTGGGAAATAATCAAAATTTTTCCATAGAATTTTCAAGGAGTTTTTTTACACATGGAGAGGAAAAATCCCAGAAGTTTTCAAGAAATGGCATAATATGGTCTTGAATTAAAATTATGATATATAAAAGGTAGTCTACAATGCCACAAACCCAAATAAATCCTCTGAGAATCTCACTATCAATATAGAAATTTACCGGAAACCTTGATAAGGCTGAAAGAACAATTCAATTGTTCATAATAAAGATTTTGATATTGTAGACAAAGGATCTTCTAATTTTCTATTTTCCCAAATGATTCAAATTCTGCTGTAAGAAATAATCATAACTGCATATTTGTAATATCTTGCCATTGCTTACCTTTATCAATGATTAGAGCATGGGAATTTCCCTGGCTTCGAAAACGGAACATTCCAGATGATTTTGGAATTTCAAGATTGTCTTTGTACCACGTCACTGTTGGTTCTGGCTGTCCTGTTACCTCCACCTCCAAAATGACTCTTTCATTTGTTGGTACTGTTTGAGATTGTAATCGGCGCCCGATTATTGGAGAAAATACATTTTCTGGAAATGAAGCAGAAGAGGTGAAAATTCTACAGGATTATAGTAGGTGATAAAAAGGAACCATGTGAAATCAGCCGTTTCTAGGGCCAGCAACAGCGCCGGCCAATGTCAGCAGTGTATTTTTTCCAATTTTCTGTTTTTCACCATCTAGCTTTAAATTACTTTCAAAGAATAGGTACTCAGGATTTTTGGGCGTTCTTTGTGTCAAATGATGCAGAATTGACGCCGCTAACCACAGGTATGATTTTCACATTTTTCATTTTTCCACTTGATGGGCATTTTTGCCTGACTCCATCACAATTTTTTTATTCTTTAAAATGATTTAAGTTAAATAGAAATTAGTTCTGATCCATTCAAGTTGACAATCACAGCTTTTTTGGTTCCCAGTCCCTGAAGGGCAATGCTGTGTTTGGAAAGTCTTAATTTAGTAGCTTCAAGATTGCTATAAGAATATTATTGTAGCTATGGCAATACAACAATTCTGACGTTGAAAATTTGTTTCGAATTTTTTTAGCCCTATCTGTCGGCTGGCATTACAACTGAAAGTTACTACAGTATCTTAGAGAGTGCACCAGTTTCCATGAATTTTTAAATTTTTTTGCCAGGTTCCTTCATAGTTTAACTTCCCAGATTCTTCCCTAGTTTTAAGACTTCTTAGGATTAGTTGCTGCTGGTTCCCTTAGACTGGCAAGGCAGTTGACGTGTTAATGAGTGCCACAGGTATAACCTTTTTTACTATTTATTGATCAGTGAATATGTGCCAGGTACTAGACAAAAACTTTACTGGAGTACAGCACAATTTAATGATATAAAATTCACCAAAAATAAAGAAAAGAGAGTTTACGTACTTTTCACAACAATATCAGCAGTACAGGTTGCGGAGCCGAGATCATTTTCTGCTTTGCATGTGTAACGCCCTGCATCTTGAAGGTTCACATCACTGATTTCCAATGATGCTTTGTTTAAAGACCAGCTGATCGTGAGTTTACCTGGGATTGGGTACACTTCCACGCCATTTTTACTCCAACTAATGTTTGGTGAGGGGAATCCTTAACAAAATTAGAAAACATTAAGAGAAATTGAAAAAAAAAAATACAAAAGTTGTTGGTTTGGTGAATTCTTGTCATTTTTTCCGTTATTGAAGTTATACAAAAAAAAAGACGATTTGATTGTCCTGCATATTGAAGTTGACATTGATAGAAAATAGTTTAAATCTGTTTTGAGAGATTAGAAAACTACAGAATCGTTTAAAACGAAAATTTCTCGAACTAAAGCTTTCACTGATGAGATCCTTAGAACAGATAAGCTCAAATTTTGAATTCATTCCTTAGAAATTTTTCTCCTTCACTAAATTACTGGGTGTTTGCGATATATGGGTGCATTAAAACTCTTATAGGTGGTTCGTTGAAAAAAAAAAAAAAAAAAAAAACAAACGGACAAACAAAGAAAAAAAAGGAAGAAGGAGAAGAAGAATAAAGCAAACGCACTAACCCAAAATTTTCTTCTTGATGGAGGAAAAAGGTATACAGCAAGTAAATTTGATGGTTTTTGTTTCAGAATGAAACTATACCTTGTGGGAGTAACTTGAATGTTGCTATGGATTTTGCCAGTTTTGACATTAGGAGCTTCAAAGGAGCGTCTAAGTTAGCTTCTGTTGTATTAATTATAAAATGTATGTAAACATCAATTAAACTGAAAATAAGGAACAGTAAGGCATGAAATCTACTTACCATCGATGATTCCTTCCAAGGCAACATTAGATCCCTGATCTACAATTTTTCCCATCAGCGTGGAAACAAACCTGGGTGCTGTTTGTTTGCGAATGGGTTTCGGAAAAGATAGTGCATTGGGGAGATTTGTATTCGATTGATAGCTTTCGTGTTTTTCGAGGATGCCACCAAAATTTGATGAGCTCTTGGTGCTTTGATGATGTGATTCTTTTCCATTTATATTTTGGTATTCTTCAGTTTCTAATGATTCCATCTATTGATAAAAACAAGACCATAAGATTAAAACGAAAATAAACATTTTCGATAATTATACCTTTCAATGGTATTCACTACAACAAGTTTAACTCAAGAAGAGTAATACATATCTCAATGTTTCGAATACTTGTGGCCAGCTGAGTATTAAGGAGACCTTGTTTTCTCATACTGATGGGGATGAGGACAGTGGTCACAGTAAACAAAATAAATTACCGGTTTCAAAACGAAGGGGAAGACTATGAGGTTTCCAATGTAACAGTAAGAGTCAAAGTTGCCATTGTAAAATGGTTATATTTTTACTCAAAGTAAATAAATACATAAAAGGAAAATAAAAATTAAGAGAAACTGAAATGACAGTCACTGAACCAGTTGAAGGAAATGGATGTTTGACTCATTGTTCAATCCACAGTGGATTACAAAATAAAGGTGAAAATATAATGAGAGATATGACAACAAAGCACCGTTTTTGAAAACAAAAGAGACCGAGAGCAGTCTCAAAGCTCCTTGTGACAACGTTCTCTACTGCACATGGTTGACACCTTTCCAAGGTCGATGACTTCAGACTGTCATTACTAAATGTCACTCTGTCTGAAACTGAAATTAAGCCAGCAGGCTAGACTCAGGACCCAGGACTCTAGGCCTGGAAGATTTATGAGCTGCTAAACTTCAACTCATTTAAAACTTCCCAGTATTCAACACTATCTTCTTAGGTCTTGGAATGAGTCCCTCTGACCGAAGGCTTAGATTGTGACTCATGTGCACTTTTAAATACTTGAACACCTTACGAGGTTGTTGGGTTCTTTTCTTAGGACCAATAACAGTAAAGAGTAATTTTTTTGGGGTGTTTCACATCTATTTGAGAAAACTGACAGATTTCCATTACACTGGCGTAATACTTAGAAAACATTTAAGGTTGGAGGGATTGAAAAATGGTATTATTGATTTTGGATATTATGAGTTTTTCAGTATAACCAAGGTAAACAAAAGAAAAAAGTGGGCTTGAAAAAATACAAAAAAAAAAAAATAAAAAATGAAGGAATCAGTTTACACACGTTTATGAAAGAAAGTCTCCTAAAATTTATATTTTAATCAAAATTCATAGCTGAGTAAAATGTTTTTCTTTCCCTAGAAGATCTCTGCACAAAGAAATTTGATTGATATAAACTGAAATATACAACTAACTTATATAAAGTTTGTCATTTCTCCACCAAATACAAATCTAAAAACCCCACGATAACAAAATTTTCAGTTACATTGTATTTGAAAAAATTCTCTAAAAATGAGGAACTTGAAATGAAGGGATCATTTAGCTGCAATAAATCAGGATTGACATGGCGAAGTAATCGTAGGGGCTGCCTGCTCACTACTTACATTCAGAGACATTCACTCACTTTATATCAGATGGTAAAGAGGATTTTGGATGAGACTTCTGTGGCTTGAAATTAAAGCCTCACCCTAAAAAAATGATTAATCACTCACAGGACTCATGAGTTTTTGGAGTTATATTTGACCATCATATTAATGGTTACATTGAAACAGATTTGAAAAACTTAGGGTGCAGTTAATAAAGGGCAAAAAGGTAACAAGACACTTACAGTGAGTGGAGGCTGACTTCCGGACTGTTTCATGCCACTTTCACTGAGAGACTTAAAACTTTGGATCTGTTGGGTCGGAGCACAGCCATCGATCGATGATGATTCCGAGAAGAGCGAACGTTTCATTTCATAAGAATAGGACTCTGAGGATGTGTCCATTGTTTGGCCTGGGGCCGGAAACAATTCCAGCCTTCTTCCGATGTCTGCAGACAAAATATTTCAAATTATAACAAGGTAAAAAAGGGATTTGTAAAAGATCCTTCAGGAAAGACATTTAAGGTGTTCAGTCAGAAAAAAATAAAAATATGAAAACACAAAAGAGCGATTATTTGTAGAGTAGTAGAACATTTACATCAGAGAGAAAAACAATGAAAATTATGGAATACCAATGGCATCACAGGGGGAAAAAAACTCACATTTAATAAAAAAAGGTAAGAATGTCCCAAACAAAGAAGTGGTTTGAACAGATTTTTACCAACCTCTATGAAAAGGGTCAACCTCTGGTGCAAAGGTCCATGTTTGAGTTAGAATTGAGGATTTTTTGTGATTTTGCATTAGTTTTCATAGGAAACTTGTCTGTGGTACCTATGTTTAGAGTCAATTTTATTGGCAAATAAAAAATAAAAAATTGCAAACAAAAGCTAAGAAATGTGTCTGTGGTAAGTTTAGAGTCAATTTTATTGGCGTATAAAGAGTGAAAAAATGTTCACCGGGACGATTAAACATAGTGAATAAATAAATAAAAATTTAGAAGTGAGAGTTGGACTACAGATTAAGAGGCTGATCAAATTGATTGCAACAGAAATGGTAAAAAGTTGATGTGAGAGCAATGGGAAAAAACAGCAAATTCACAAATAATTGAAAAGAGGGTATTTTTTAAATAATTTCCCGAAAAAATTTTAGGATGTATAACTTTGATTTAGAAGGTGATTGTAATAGTTGTAGCTGTTATTGGAAAAAAGTAGAAACCTCAAAGAAAAAGCCTCCATGTGTTTCCCGCAGCACATCATTAAACATTTTCATCTAGTACTTCTTTGGAAAAAATATCTTTCTTGCAAAGAATTAGAGTTATATTCAAGCATCATAAAAACAAAACGCGATTTACATATTTTCAAACTATTATAACAATGTAAAAAAAAGAAAAGAAAAAAATTGAAATATTCATGAAATGAGGCAGTAGCATAGATAATATTGGGGAAGAATTTGAATTTAATGCCGAAATTTACTTTCTGATCCAAATTAAACTAATCCGTCTCCTTGTCCAAATTAGTGATCTATGGTTTCCAGGGATATTAACTTTCTAATCCCACATAATCTGTCAGGAAATTCTGACAGAGTTATCTTCCTATCCCAAAGCACATTAATCTGGGTGCTTTGGTTATAAAATAAACCAATCTTTGTAAAAATCAAAGGAGAGGCGTGTTGATTCTGAGCGTTGAGTATAATGTTTTGACAGAATGACAAGGGATTAATGAGTAGTAAGAAGACACATTAATAGTTTTGTGAGCTTGGTTGAACGTAGTGATACAAACATATTGTTATGAAAAACAACAGACATTAATAAACACCAAAAGGAATGATTAGAAAAAAATAATTTATGTTGGAGACAAAGCTGTACATTAGCGAGGACTCTGAGAAAGATCAAAGAGACTGTTTAATACAGGCAGATAAATATAAAAGTGATGGATTTCACAAATACACAAAACATGTAAGTTTATAAAAGAAAAAAAAGTCAAAGAGAAGCAGAAAAGGGTGTAAAGAGAAATACAATATAGAATTAATGAGACTATATCAACACCTAGGATTGTTGAAAATTACTTCACTATAAATTCAATATATTGCATAAATATAAGTACTGGCGGAAAGAAAGGAAGTATCTCACACGATAATAAAATTACAAATAATTCAATAAATACATATAAAAATGAAAATGAAAAAAGGAATGAGACAGAGGGGACAAATTGGAAATGAAGAAAACTTTGGATTGAGTAAAAAAGCTGGTGTTTCAGAGAGAGGTTAAAGAGACACAGCGACACAAAAGTGCGAAGGTAAGCTAAGATAATGAACAAATCTAGGAAATTTAACCTATTCCAGGCAAAGGATTATGAATGATCATTAATCAGATGAAAAATTTGTTCTCAGTCTTCTTTCTTTTGAGAGAGAACACTGATAAGAACCACACATGTTTTTCTGAATTGAAACTACTGAAGGACAAATATGTTGAGATAGGTGGTTAGTGAGGGAGTTTAAAACAACAAAAATAGGTAATAAAAACGACAGAGGAAAATAAAAATAAAATCAAGTTAATGATTCATCTGTACAAAAACTATATTAAAACATAGAAGCGGGATTAGTTTTAGTACTTGAAGTAGTTCAAAGAAAATTAGAGAAAAGAATAGACAAGGCTGATGCATGCCCAGAAAAATAGGAATAAAATAAAACAGAGATAAAATATAATAAAAAGAAAAGGACACAGTTACCTGAGGTTAACATGATCAAGTAGGATCAGAATAAGAGAGAGTCAACGGAGAGTAGGTAAAGTGTGAGACTGATAAAAATACACGAGGAATTAGACTCAGGCTATTTTTAGCGCAGACATGATTCTTGCCGTTACTCTGACCTCACAGTTCAAAAACTCGGGAAAATTGGCCCAACGCACCATAAAACATAAACATTCAGGACATGCACGCATGGATCTGCAGTGAAAGTGATAATCACAGAGATACAACCAATTTCAAGTCTTGATTCCTCATTAGCGACTGCTAAATTGCATGCGCAAATGTACGCTAACAGCTTGAGTGTGTGTACATGCACTTCATGTGACTCAGCTTTAGTTTGCTCTTTTTGGCTCTTTTTATCTTTTGCTTAGACCACGCTCACTGCAGGTTTATAATTAATGGCACAGTTTCCACTTATTTGGAGATCTGTTGATCATGACAACCGGATTAAAGATTAATGATTATATGCCTAAATATTTTTAAGCAATTTAATTGTAGATTAATACGTTCACCATTCACTTTTTTACATGTGCCACCATCTACACAGCGACCTTAAAACTGAAACTGGCTTGAATTCCTTTATAGCATGAACAGTTTGGGATTAACGACTCTATTCTAATGGAAAGAAAGTTTTTTTTTTAAAAAAGAAAAAAGAAAAAAAAACTGTCATGAGTATTGGTCCTGGATTTATTTTAAACGATATTGGTGTGTATATGCACGAGGATAATTTTTCCTAGGAAATATCTGAGGTTACATAAATAAATCACCAATTTTATTCTGGCTCTCAAGTTCTTAAGAGTTGACCTCATATTATTTCTCAAAATATCATGCACCTTTCAAAACCAATTTCCAAACCTAAATCTAAAAAAATTCTAAAGCTACACCCATTTCATGGAGAGAATCTTTTAAAACAGGAGAATTATCATTACTCAGAACTTTAAATACAAAGAAATTTCCATGAGTAACAAACATGTTTTAATAATAATTTTTGTGAACTAATTAAAATTGTTGAAATGGTGAAGAAAATACAGTTGATTTTATTTCCATCAATAAGTTCTACTATTGATCTATTTTTTCTTGGACTCCTCATCGAATGAGCTGTATTTGTCTATTTTAGGAAAAATATAGTTTAGGTTGATGAAAAATACGTCGAGAACTATGTACCTTTCAGAATACAACCTTTGAATGGGTAATTACTTCTTCTCATGACATTTCTGACTCTTTGATGTTAAGGAACAATTTTACAGGACACCGAAGCCAGTAGTACCCGCAACACATAGTTTGTCACACTCCCGCTGTCTCCAAACAAGCAATGGTCTAATATTTCATCAGCTTTATCAGTTTGAAGTCCTGCCCATCTGAAATTTCGGTTTGAGAAAAGTACTCTTTTACCGCGGGTGGATAAGATAAATTTAGCGAAGAGTCAAGGGCATTGGGGGGGAGGGGCGCTTTTGACGATGTTAATAGAAACCTGCAGGGACTGCGACTTTTTCAAATCCGGTGAGAGGTTTGAAGGCTCCCAGGGATACGTGTTTCATAATAAACCCTTGCACTTGTTATAGGTGAATCAGGAACTGATTGTGTAATAGAAATTGATTGATTCCATGACCTCCCGTTTCGTTAGGAATATACCTCAGAAAATTCTGACTAGATGGATATTAAAATAATCTGATTTTTGTTATCACGCTCGTTTCCTGGTCTAAGCTTTGTACTGCTGTAGTTACGTACGTATTTATTCGATAGAAAGTTGAAACTTTTCTTCTTTTACTCTTTCTCTTCTTTTTGCTCCTCCTCACCTTTTTCTCTTCTCTCTCTTTTATTAGCTCAAGGGGGAGGAGGACGTGCTACCTTTGGGAGGGACCCTCTCCAAAAAAACATATGTTCATGCCACAGTGTCGTGAATGTTCGACGTGAGGCAACTTCAATTATGAATTAGGATTGAAAAGCTATTTAAGTTGACGGCAAGTTGATGAGGATTTTTTATTTCCGAAATGAAAACCCCCTCTTTTTGAGGCTATTTTGAAATCCCCGCTAGCTGACAGACATTAAAAGCGGAAGGGGGTTTACTGGCGTTCTTTCAGAGAGCAGAAAAAGTGCGCAGCTTCATCGAAAAGTCCAACTGCAATATTATTTCTCAAAAGGACATTACAGAATTCGACGCCCGACTGCAGGAATACTCCTCACACGGTGCCAAACACAATGCGAGCGCTGTTGGTTGGCGCGCAACGAACACTAGCGCCTACGAGAGTGCAGGAATACTTCACGCATCGCGCCTAGTACAGCGTGGTCGCTGGTCGGCTCGAGGGGCATATTAGCGCCTACAAGACTGTGGGAATACTTCACGCATTGCGCCTAGCACAGCGCGCAGCGTGGTCGCTGGTCGGCGCGAGGGGCGTATTAGCGCCTACAAGACTGTGGGAATACTTCACGCATTGCATGTTCACTTCAGAGCGCGCTTAAATCACTAAAAATGTGTAATATCTCGATGCCGGACCTACTGCGGTCTACACCATTTCCAACCAGTGCGCATCCCAAGCTTGGAATCCTAGGATCGAGGGATTGAAGAGATTTCGCACCCCTGAATGGTATCTTATTGTTAGTATATTGAGTTACTGACGTCTGGTATTTTGCTAACAGAGAAGAAGAACCAAGAAAGTTTTCAAAGAAATTGAACGCTGACTAGTTTTCCATAGGAAAAATAAAAC